AGGGATTGAGCTCGGGCTTGCGTGTGCTAAATTCATAGTGTTCCCCCACCCCACCCCAAACCAGTGGGTTCTCAGATTCTAGCCTGTAACAGAACTGCTTAAACACTTGTTAAAATATGGATTACAGGGTTCCATCCCTCCATTCCTGGGTCACCAGATCTGAAAGGGGGGCAGGGACTGTGCCTAACATTCCTGGTGCTATTCATTAGCCAGCGTCCACGCAGACACAGCTCCAGCCATGAGGACTCAATGCGGAAGGGCCACGCCTGTTGGCCCACCACAGTGTCACCAACACTGACATACTCCAGAAACACCAAAAATAACGACACTCCTGGAATTAGAGGAATTCAAAGAATGGATGGGCCATGTTGGTGGTCCCTTAGCCCCAGGAACTTGAAGAAGAGTCAGATGTCCTCGTTAATTCTCAGAGAGGAGAGATGAGCGGTACTCACGCAGCAGAGCCAGGACAGCCCCCAGGATGGGGAGGATGAAGCCGCCCTTCCAGCGGTCGGGGCAGGACTCCATGTGGCCCCGGCAGTCGCACACGGTGGCTTTGATCACTGTTAGCTGCTCATTGTTGCCGTGGTCAGACAGCGAGAGGTGTACATCGTATGTATCTTGCTTCAGGAACTTCTTCAGGGACAAGGCCACTGCATCTCCTGCAGTGGCGAGACAGTGTTTTAGTTGGGGATGCCTTAAGTGGTGGGGACCGGGTACTCCATGATGGAAGGTTTGAGAACGACCTCCGCAACCGAGCGAGAGAAGCAGATCGAAAGCAGCCTTCCGCCAAGTGTTAATAATAATTATCTGGGGCTGGGTAGAGGGCATGCTTAGCACGTGGGAGGCCCTGGGTTCTATCATCCAGCACCCAAAATAATATTAGGCTAAAGTGAAATTTAACATCAAGGAAAGGATTGTTAAAATAGAAAAATAAATTCATTTTATTACTATTACCATTTTTTTTTTGTGTGTGTGTGGCTGGCTCAGCCTGCCTTAGGGGAAGTGCTGGCACAGCATGTAGTGCTGGGGATTGAACCTCTGTCCCTGTGAGTTATCTCGTTGGCCCTTTATTATTATTTTTAAAAAATCTCTTTATTTTGTACAGGGTCTCACTACACAGCTAGGACTCCCAGTGATCCTCCTGTCTCTTGTCTCCCCAGTGCTGGGATTATAGGCGTGTGCCACCATACTGGTTTTGGTGGCCAGTGTGGCGTACCCAGGGTTCCAGGGCCAGCATGGCATGCTCTACTAGGGACTGAGTTTGGATCCTTGCACTTGTCAGGCAGGCTCTTAAACCACTGAGCTAGGGGCCGGGGAGATGGCTCTGTAGAATAAGCGCTTGCTTGGCAAGCGCAAGGGCCTGAATTTAATCCCCAGTTCCACAAAAAAAAAAAAAACCCAAAACAAAACACTGAGCTATCTCCCCAATCCATTATTTTTTTCTTGTACAGGATCTCACTACACAGCTCGGACTCACAACGATCCTCCTGTTTTCAGCCTCCTCAGAGCTGGGGCTGGGATTACAGGTGAGCACCACCATGCCCAGTCTTGGTTACCAGCTCAGTACACCCGGGAGTGGGGCCAGCAGGGAAAGAACCCGACAACCACAGTATTTCAAAAATTGGAATTGCTAGGCATGATGGTGCAGGCTTATAATTTCAGCACTTAAGAGTCTTGAGACCAGCCTGGGCTACAAAGTGGCACAGGGCCAGCTCACTGCATAGTTAAGACCCTGTCTCAAAAAGATGAAGAAAGGGAGGGGGAAGTGTACTTCCAATAGTCACGTGATGCAGATCAATAGCTTCTTGGTGCCATTAGCTGCTAGCCTGTCCTTTGCCTCAAAAGAACACATTATTCTTTTGTTTGTTTTTGTTTTTTTGTGGAGCCAGGGATTGAACTCAGGCCCTTGTGTTTGCCAAGCAAGCACTTATTCTACTGAGCCATCTCCCCGGCCTCAGAACACATTATTCTTATTCTTCCCAAGCGGTAACTAACCTAACTGCTTAATATTTATATTAATTTGCCCATTTGAACATTCACTGCCAGTTATTTTTTTTGGGGGGGTGGCTGGCTCAGCCCACCCTCGGGGCAGGGCTGGTGCAGCATGTGGGCTTGCCCAAGCAGGTGCTCTAGACTGCTGAGCTATCTCGCCAGCCCCTCGCTGCCAGTTATTATTCCATATTATTATGTTTTAGGTATTTAGTACAGGGTCTACAGGGTTTTACTACATATAACAGATTCGTAGTGATCCTCCTGTTTTTAGCTTCCCAGGCGCTGGGATTACAGGCGTGGGTTGAGTTGTTTTAGTGCACCCCAGGGGCAGGACCAGCATGGCCCACACAGCAAACTCAGAGTGAGGAGATGCAGGCTATGTTTACAGCTAAGGAATGTGGGCCAGGGGTCCTGATAAGCGGCCTCTGGTTTAGATCACATCCAGCTTTCTTGGGAGGTGGGTTGTGTGGGTAGAACTTTTACCAGCATGCTGGATTTTCCTCAGAAACCTCCCTCCACCATCATTAGGACAATCACAAATGACCTGACTCCCCCCGCACCTCCCCTCCCCGCCAGGCCTGCAGGCCTCTTGCAGCACTGACCACAAACTATTTCCTATAAAAAGTCTCTACCCATGGGCTGGGATATACGGGGTGTGTGTGTGTGTGTGTGTGTGTGTGTGTGTGTACACACCCATAAGAAGGCCAGGGGTAGAATTTCCTGTTCCCACTTAGCTGTGACAGACAGAGAGCTGTGTAGTCTGAGTATCTGGCATTTCACATGGCAAGGCCAGCATGGGCACCTCGCCAGCAGCCCTGGACCATGCTGGAGGGCCGATTTATGGCAGGAGTGACTAAGTGGACACTTATATATGCCAGCCCCTTCCCCTACCCCCGACCTCAACTTGAAGAGGCAGGAACTGTTATGAACCTTAATTTATAAGTACAGAAGTTGAGGCTGAAGGAATCAAGCTAAGTAGCGCAAGGTCACATGGGTGACTGTCCCTGATAAGAGAAACAAGAGCAAACAGAACAAGTAAATAAATCTAAGCCAAGAACCAGGTATCACAGTATTACGTTGAGGCGCTGCTGGTCCCTTGGGGATCTGGCCACACTCTAACGGAGTGCTGATTGTTGCTGGGAAGAAATGGCACTGGAGGTGGGCCCACGCATTCACTTATTAATTGCTGCAGCAGCTGGCAGGAAGGAGCACAACTCTCTGAGGCACACACAGGAGTTCCGTCGCTTGCCCACAGCCCAAAGCTGCTGCGCAGTAAATGAAGGGGTTGGGTCTTGAACGAAGCATCTGGCTCCAGAGCTCGGGCTCTTACAGGACACATTCAAGGAGCAAAAGTATATGGTTTCTAGGTCACCAGGGGCTAAGAGGAGACCAGTGTGGGCTCTGCAAAGGAAGGGCGCTGGATCTACACACCAAAATCACAGGAATCATAAAAGGAAAATATGGGTGTCTGAGGCAGTGCTGGGAATCCTTGCCAAGCCAGGCTTAACCACCCGAAACCGCACGCTCAGGCTCTTAGGGGCAGAGTCAGAGCGTGCCGACTCTTCAGCCCCTCCTGGGAAGCCCCTTGTCCCAGGAGAGGCAGCTCCCCTGGCAGCTGCACAGCGCGTGGGGCTGGCTTCTCCTCTCATGCTCCCCACCCCAAGGGGCAGCTGACAAATCCCCAAGGCTGAGAACTTCCAAGCGGGAGGGCTGGAAGGAGGCAGGACAGGAGGTGGATGGGAACGTGGGCCAGAGGCTCTGGAGTCCAAGCCTGGCTTCAAATTCTTTTTGTTAATTTTTATCAGTACACGTTTGTAGTACGGGGGGCTGGGGATCTAGCTTAGCAGCATAAGCACATGCCTGGCAAGTAGAAGGTCCTGAGTTTGATCTCCAGCACTGCATTAAAAAAAAAAAAAAAAAAAGTATGTTTGCAGTACATAGTGATTATAATCACTGTGGGGAGCTGAAACATAGACATAATCCATTTAATTCCTTTTATGTCCCCTTCTCCTCCATCCTCCTTCATCCATCTCTTGGTCTTCTACTTTGCAAAAGATCTCCCTATGTCCTATTATATATGTTCTGGCTTCAACTTCTACTTCTCACCTATGCTGGGCCCTTCGGGATGCTCTTTAACGCCCCTCTCCACAGCCTTGCTTTGTATATGGGGCTAAAAACACTGGTCAGTTTGGTAGATACATTAAAAAAGAAAGAAAAGAAAAGGCAGGCAGGCAGACTCCAGAAACAAACCAAAACAAGAAAAACCAAGTGTGATGGTGCATACCTGTAATCCCAGTGCTTGGGAGGCTGAGGCAGGAGGATGCCAGATTTCCAAGAGTTTGAGGCCCGACTACACTATATACAGTACTGAGTTCACGGCCAGCCTGAACTACATAGTGAGACCTTGTCTCAAAAACAAATTTTAAAGGGCCTGGGGCATGTAGTTCAATATAGAAGGCCCAAGGTTTTTTTTTTTTTTTTTAATTTTATTTATTTGTGTGTGTGTGTGCGTGTGGCCAGCTCAGCCCACCAGGGGGCGGGGCTGGCTGGCATGTGGTGCTGGGGAATTGAACCGCGGTCCCTTTGCTTTGCTAAGCTTGTTCTAAGTAGGTGCTCCAGACTACTGAGCCATCTCACCAGCCCCAGGCCCAAGGTTTAATCTCCAGTATTTTTTTTTTTAAGATCCAGATTAAAATCTTGGTGCCAGTATTTTCTGTGAGTTGTGATGCCTGTGGCAAGCTACCTAAGCTTCTGTGAGCCCTGGTTCTCTCATCATGCACATGGGAGCCAGTAAACCAACAGCACTGGCTCCTTTACAGGCTTGATGTGAGGATTAAGCAGTTCAGTGCGAAGCACCTGAAGTGGGTCAGGCCCATAGCAGGCTCATTCAGCAAGTGGCAGCTGTTATGTGCTGGAATGCAGGACTATGTGTGCATATGTATGTGTATGTACATGATACTGAGGCTCCAACCCTGGGGTCTCCCACCTGCCAAGTGAGCATCTGCCCACTGTGGTAGGACCCTAGTCCTGCACTGGGTCCTGACTTGCTGGGTGACACCAGCCAAATTGCTCCCCTCTGCCTTGCCTTCCATCTATGCAGATGCACACAGGAGGCCAACAGCTAGGTGGGGTGTATGTGGTGCTGGGAGACCCACCAGCAGCCTCACAAACACAAGGCAAGTGCTCTGCCACTGGGTCATGTTCCTGAGACACATCCTGACCCAGAGGGAACCAAAGGACTTCCGAAACAGGACTCTGAGTGGGGTCCTGGCACGAGGCAGACACACACCCAGCAGAACCAGTCCCCCGCCTGCTAACACCACTTACCTTTTTCACTGACTTCTGCCACCCAGGAGATGTCTGAGTCGAGAATGAGTCGGGCCTGGAAAGGGTAGGAGTTGGGGGACAGGTCCTTGTCTGTTATGTTCAGCACTTGGGGCACCGGATTTTCGTTGCAGATGGTGATATGCTGGGGCTCAGGAACTGGGCCATGGTCATTGATGTCGGTGAGTGTTAGCAGGAGGGTCCCCGTGCCTGTGGCGGAAGGGCTCCCTGTTCATAACGACACACAGGATCTCTTTTCAGCATCTGCCTAAGGCTGACACAGGAAGAATGTTAAGCTTGCCCAAGACCTACTCAGTCATCCTCAGAAAGGCTCCTGCTCACCACTCAGCTCGACCCCTCGAGTCCCTCTGTGCCACAGCTTCAGGATACGTCAAACCAGTGGTGCCAAGTACATAGCAATCAAGCTGTCCTGACTTGTGTCTACAGCAGACATCACTAATCAACCTCGGTACAGCTCAGCCACAACACCCAAACAAGTCCTGACAATCTATCACAGAATGAAACCCTCTGGCCACTTTGGGAATGATCCAGCATTTGTTGATGAGCTTCAGGGAACTTGCCTCCAGAACTCATCAACTTCAGACTGACTTGCTGTCCACCCTCATCCTTTGCTGTGTAGGGGACACGGTGGGGCATGTGACACGGGAAGCAAAGGCATTCCTTGTGGAAGGGTTGGGCGGAAGCACTCACCATCATCAGTGGCCAAGACCGTGACTTCATAGATGTTGTTCCTCACAAACCGCTCGTCCTCTCGGTCTAGGAGGCCTGCAGCAGTGACCTGCCCACTGTCTGGGTCCATTGCTAGCCACCCAGCTGGGTCTCTCAGGATGTGGTAGCTGGAGGGGACGAATAGAGAAGGGACACATCCAGAGTACTTGGAATTCTACTGCCACCTTTCCAAACCTCTTCAGGCCAACTACAGGGGGTCACTGGGCTCTTAAGCCCCCACAGGAAAAGCATCTTATACAGATAGAGCCTGGAGTAGCAGATGGAGGCCCAGCAGGGATATACAGGCAAGGAGAGGATGTATCTGTCCCTGGCCCCCTAACGAAGAATCTTCAGCCACAAGCATAGTAGGAAGGAGAGGCCCAGTGCAAGGGTGATATTCCAAATATTGAACAATCTTTGAAAACTGGAACAACCCACTCCATTGTACTGGTGCATTTGGCTAACTCAGAGCCCAGTCCCCTCAAGTACCTGATTTTCTGATCCTGCTCATCAGGGTCCTGTGCAGTGTAGACACAGACAACTTCCCCAGTGGAGATACCCTCCTGGACCTCGATGACTTTGGAGGGCGGGACAAACACAGGGGCCTCATTCACATCCTCCACATGGACCACGACAGTGGCTGTAGAGATCGGGAGCTTCACCACAAAAGGAGCCTCATTCTTCACTTCTACAAATAGTGTATGCTGGTTTTGGGCCTCAAAATCCAAGCCCTACAAGGGAAAAAACAAGGACTGGAACCGCCATTTTGTGAGGCCCGTGGACATCAGAAGGGTCCACAGTGACACAGTGGAGACCCCCACCAACAATAATCCTGTTGTATCTGTTTTTGCTAAACAGACATCTAGAGGACTTCTCACAGTCGGGTGGTGACATTAGGGGGTATTTTAGAAAGTAACAGAGACATTCCAGTTGTCATGCCTAGGGGTGCAACTGACATTTATAAGCTGAGGCTGGGATGTCATGCCCCACAATTTTGTGAACACAAAGGACTGACCCTACATCCCATGTGATGTCACTATCTCCTTTGACATTTTTATATTCATGGATGTGAAAAAATGTGTTTATAATTAGAGTCTAGAATATGTTTTACATGTAAACAAAGTTTTTGGTATGGTTTTAATATATACTGAATTCTCCAGGACTACAACTTCTGAGAGAAGCTTGTAACTTAATTTGTTTAGGGCTTTTTCAAGAATTTGCTCAGTTTTGAAAAGACATCAAAACCATTTGTGGTATGTGTCACGAGGGCAACATCTGCTGCATCCACTGCATTTGTGCGATTCTGCAAAGAGATTCAAGGAATGGCCACTTCTCTATGTTTTCTAGTGTAGTTGTGCCCAAAAGTTTATGTATTAAAGTGCTTGTAGTCAGTAACTTTTCTGGAATAACTTGTGGATTTTACAGTTGGAGTGCTTACTTTTCTAAGAAGCATGAGTTAGCTAAGCTGTACTGTAAATGAACTTAATCTCGCCATGTAAAAAAAAAAAAAAAAAAAGTACCATTATAGTGTTTGTCATAAACAGGGACAATGAATCTTTTCTTTCCTTTGAATACTGGGTGTCAAACCCAGGGCTTGTGTGTATTAGGCAAGTCCTTTACCACTAAGCTATATCCTAAGCGCCCCAAAGGGTAGTTTTTTAAGTATTACGTGAAGCCTTGCTTCTCCAACTAGGCCTTTTTTTTTTGGTGGAACCAGGGATTGAACTCAGGCCCTTGTGCTTGCCAGGGAAGCGCTTATTCCACTGAGCCGTCTCCCTAGCCCCAACTAGGCCATTCTTGACAGTAAACAAGACAAAAGAAAACTCAGACCTGTTTTTGAAGCACCAATTGTATTTGACCCAACCTATGCCATATTCCCCAATGAAAACAAAAGTTCACAGAACCTTAAATAACTTTTTTTTTTTTTTGGAGAGGCAATAATGTGCCTACTAAGTAATTAAAAACATTTTGCTATCTAAACATCTTTTTTTCCCCCTGGTACTGGGGAATCAAACTTAGGACCTTGTGCTTGCCAGGCAGGTGCTTATTCATCCCCGGCCCAACATCTAGATATGTTAAAGAATAATGCAAAATTAGCATGATTTCAGGATAAGACCTTGGAGGGCAGCGCTGAGAGGGCAGCGCCATGCCACTACTCCCACTTTGGCCGCACACAGGCGGTGGCCCTTGTCCTGGCAGCTACCGCAGGTGAGGCCCCTGCTTGAAGCCCAAGTGGACTCACCTTCCTGGTTGTCAGGATGCCCTGGTTGCTCTCAGGATGGGTAGTGATGGTAAAGTGGTCCCCGTTGTCACCTCCCACAATGTGGTAGGTGGCACGCCATGCTGGAGAGTTTGGGGCATCCATGTCCGTCACTATCAGCCTCTGTACCTCAAAGCCCACTGCATTCTCAGGTACCTGGGCCTCATACTGTCAGAGGAGAAAACAACACAATCAGAGGAGAGATTGACCATCTGAGAAGCTGCTCCGCTCTTCAGGGACCTGTGACCCTCCTCAGCACTACTGGGGAGCCCTGAGGCTTCATCTGTTCTTGGGCTACCAGCTCCCTTAGCAGCCACACAGGTATGGAAGGTCCCAAGCACTAGCCTGACAGGTTGCAGGACAAACCATGTCACCCCTGGGTCTGCCTTCCCTTCTCCTGGGGTGTAATGCTCCCGGAATCTCACTGGTTTTAGTGTCTAAGCGCTTGACAAGTGTAGCTAGCTCATACACCTAACTCACTGAGGTCAGTAGTCTATAAAGAAGGTGCAAAGAAGGGCAGATGAGTTAGGCGTGGTAGCACATGCCTGTAATCCCAGCACTCAGGAGGCTGAGGCTTGAGGATTGCTGTGAGTTCAAAGCTAGCCTGTCTCAAAAAAACAAAAACAAAAGAAGGGCAGATCCCTGACTGTGATAGGGTACCAGCTAGAACTTCTATGGAAGTTCTGGGGCTGGGAGAAAAGACTGGGAAGTCAACTGCTCAGAATACCTGGGGCATGGAGGCAAGGCTGGGTAGGGACTAAGCCCAGAGCTCATGCATTCTGAACAAGTGTTTTACTACCGAGCTGCATTTCCAGCTTTTCAGAATAAATTTTTAATAAGTTGTACAAAGTCCCAAGTCTGATTCCCAGAACCAAGCAAACAAAACAAAACAAAAATCTGATGAAAAACACTAAAGATTATAGTACTCAGTGAACTAAAGCTCCTGCTTAGGTATGTGCAGGGACCGGGGTTTGATCCCAGCATGTCATGCAGGCCTTGCCCCCAGGACGCACTGAGACAGCGGAGAGACTGGGCATGGTGGCGCACACCTGTAACCCCAGCACCTGGGAGGCTAAAAACAGGAGGATCACTACAAGTCCAATCTGTGTAATGAGACCTTGTACTAAATACATTTTTTAAAATTAATTAATTAATTAATTTATTGTGTGTGTGTGTGTGTGTGTGTGTGTGTGTGTGTGTGTGGCCAGCTCAGCCCACCAGGGGGCGGGCTGGCTGGCATGTGGTGCTGGGGAATAGAACCGCGGTCCCTGGGCTTCGGGCTTCGCTAAGCTTGTTCTAAGTAGGTGCTTTAGACCACTGAGCCATCTCACCAGCCCCAACTAAATACATTTTTTTTTTAAAATTAAAATTATACACAGTAAAAGACACACTGCCAACAATTGCCCCAAATACAGCCCCCTCACTTCAAATACACCCATCCTATCATTTTTGCTATTCTCTGAAGCAGTTCTGGATGTTCTCTTTCATGAGTATCTTTCTTTAGTTGGGCTGCCATCTGCTTTGATATCCTGAATCAATTCAAAATTCATCTTTTGCAGTCATTTTGACTTGGGGGAAAAGCCAGAAGTCAACAGAGTTCCAGATTCAATGAATGAAGGTCACGCTATAATCGTTTTGACAGAAATTCCCATAAAAGTTTTGAATCAAGGCCAGGTAAGATAGCTCAGTGGCATAAGTACCTGCCTGGCAAACCCAAGGTCCTGGGATCGATTTCCTGTACAAAAGAAAAAGAAGTTTTGAATCAAGCCAGGATATCATGGCAGCCAGGAATGACATTCAGACAAGACTTCCAGAACTGCTTCAGAAAGCAAAGGAGTCTGAATTAAGGGGAAATGGACTATCTTGAGGGAGGAGTAATGGCAATATGTCTTTTACTATACTAAATTTTACCATTAGCTTTTTTCTTTTTGGGACAGGGTTTCATTACGTAGTTCAGGCTGGCCTTAAACTCATGTTGTAGCACAGGCTAGCCTCAGACTTGCAGCAATCCTCTTGCCTCAGCCTCCTGAGTGCTCCTCCCCTGTAAGTTCTCATGTCAACAAAGATTTTCATACTGTGCACTAACCTTGACAGAACAGTGTTAAGAATTATACACATACCATTTGACACTCAGAACAATGTAAGAGTATTATCAGCCTCACTTCCAACTAGGAACCTGGTACAGAGGGTTAGAACAGTTTGCCTGAGGTCACACAGCCAGTGAGCTGCGAGACGTGGACTGGAAGCCACATGGATGGGTTTCAGAGTTTCATAAGAAAGGGAAAACCTTAGTCCACCATTAATGAGGGAAGCGATGGAGGAGCGTTCCTTACCTTCTGGGGGTCAAACACAGGAGGATTGTCATTAGCATCAAGGATTTCCACTATCGCCACTGCTGTGGTAGTGGAGCCATTCCCATCCATGTCTGTGGCCAGGACGGTCAGTGTGTAATTGGGGACTTTCTGGGGAGAAAAAGAGGTGTGGGGAGCCCACTATGAGTCTGTTCCAAGAAGCCCCCACATGGGCTCCGGGAAGCAGTCTTGGCCGGGTGCTGGGTTTCTCCCTCACAATTTTCTCACAACTCCTTGACCTGTGCTCCCCCCGACCGTACCAAACAGGAGCAGAAGGTGGTGCTGGGCCTGTCTTGGGGACCATCCTGGCCCCCAGCTACTCCACAATGAGAGCTGTGAGTGTGGATTTATACGGAAGTATTTATTAGGAAACAGAAGGCAGCTCCGATAGCCATGGAGCGAATCCCACTTTGTGGCACACCAGGGACACATCCGGGAACATGCACACCAAGTGAGCCGTTCCAAGAGGAAATGAGAAAACCTCCAAAGTAGCTGAAGCCTGCATTTCACGGCTGCTTCCTCGGCCTCACAGGAGTCTTCATGAAACTCCAGCAGCAGCCCACTGGCCCAGGGGGCTGCGGGCCATCAGCACGTGAGCAGTGTGGCGCCACCCAGTGTCCTTGGTCCTGCCATGACCTCAGCATCAGGTTCAGTGTGGGCAAGGCTGGCAGGCACCCAAGGGCCACTCACCTCCCGGTCCAGGCCGCTGGAGATGACATTGATGCTGCCCGTGCTCCGGTGGATGGTGAACATGAGGTCATGTGGGTCCTTTGGTTCTTGGCTGTGGATGGAGTAAGCAACCACCCCGTTGTCGGTGTTGATGGCATCGTCCTCATCAGTGGCTGTCACCTGCATCACTGAAGTACCTGGGGACAGGAAGGGCGAGTGAGTCCCTTTCTCTCCCGGCTCTGATTCCAGCCGTGCCTACTTCTGGAACTCTGAGGGGCTCTGCTCTGCTCAGCAGCTTGGATCTGTCCTCTGCTTGCTAGCTGGCATTCACCTCCCGCTCTCTCCGCATTTAGCACTCTGACCTTCACTTAGGACGACAGCCTTATTGACATCCCTTTTGCAGCCTGCTAGGACTATGAGCCTAAATCCTGGTGAACACTATATTCAATTTTGGGAGAAGTTTTGTTTGTTTACAAATATGGGCTTGTTCTTGCCACCTCATCCCTTCTGCCAGTTGTAATAGCTGGAGCTCTAGCGGCTGCAGTGAGGTAACCATGAGCACGAAGCTCCAAAGAGCAACAAAACAAAACAGAAGAAACCTAGTTCTAATTCTTTGAATTCCAGTGTGGATCTGCTGACTGGCTACTTCTAGACTTCCTAAATATAAAGCAAGCGAGGGGGAAAGGGAGAGAAGAAGGGAAAGGGAGAAGAAGAGGGAGAGGGGGAGGGGTTTCATTTTGTTCAAGACTATTTTTTGTTGTGGGAATTCATGTAATCGGAAGTCTAATCAACTCACTGTCCCTGAATTTTCATCAACAGAGAAAAACTTTCCCTCCATCAGCATCTGTCTCTGAAGCTGTTAATATGCATCTACTGTGATCCCAACATCTATGTCCGCTGGTTGCCCACAGTCCTCTTTTCCATCTCAGGTAGTTTTTTTCCACTCTCCATATGCCAGGTTCAAGTAAGTATCTTCCAACCCTTGCTGCCACCTTCACTGAAAAACTCTATGTCAAGTGCTTTGTAGTAATAATACTACGTACATGCTTTTACTTTCTTTTCTGTTTCTTCTTTTTCTTCTAGTTCTCTGGATGGAACCTAGGTATGCATGCTAAACATGTGCTCTAACCATTCAACTGTACCCCCAGTGGCACAATTTTTCTAATCTTCAAGACCATCCTTAAGCCCATTGTCACCAAGAACATACCCATACTTGTGGCTGGTGAAAAGGCAAGGCCTGTATTCAAATCTCAAGTCTTTGCAGCCCCGTGTAGCTGTTGAGATTACTAGATACAGTCATGAAAGACCCAATGAAAATCTGGGCATCTGAGATGGATACACACTTCACAGATGAAGAGATACAAGTAGTAAATAAATTGGTGAAAAATGTTCAACACCATTGGTCATTTCAGAAATTTAAATTAAAACAAAACTGAGATTCTATCTCACCCAGGAAGAATGGCTATTATCAAGAAATCAATCAACAACAAATGCTGGTGGTGGTGGGGAACACTTTTCCACTGTGGGTGGGAGCGTAGACTGCTACAACCACTGTGGAGATTCCTTAAAACACCAGGATTAGGAGGTCCCATTTACCTAGCTATTCCCCTCTTTGGTATTTTCCAGAACTGAAAACATACCACAGCGATATATGTACATCCATGTTTATAGCAGCACAATTTTGTCATAGCTAAATCCCAGAAACAACCTAGATGCCCATCAACTGAGGAATGGATAAAAAAAAGTTGTATTTTTATACAATGAAGTACTATTCAGCTATAAAGAAAGATGAACTAGAGGCTGTTATAGGTCTAACCAAAGGAATCAAGGGTGGTGAGATCCAGCAGGGCATGGCGGTACATGCGTATAATCCCAGCACTGGGGAGGCTGAGGCAGGAGGATCACAAGTTGGAGGTCAGCTTGATGGGGCCTGGATATTGCTCAGTGGCACAGCACCTGCCTATAAAGCACAGGGGCCTGAGTTCAGTTCCCAGTACCAAAAAAGAAAAAGGGCCAGCCTGAGGTACATAGCGAGTTCAAAGCCAGCTTGAATGACATGGTGAGACCCTATCTTAAAAAAAAAAAAAAAGCAGTGGTGGTCACTTTCCAGTATTCAAGGGTCTGGACTGACTTGTACATGGTTCAAGAAGTTGCTGCAAAGCTAGGTCTGACCACAGTGGACCCATAGTCCTCTTACCAGGCCGGGCTCCCTCCAAGACACCCCCATGGAAGACCTCCTGAGTGAACTTGGGTCTGTGGTCATTCTGGTCTGTCACGACGATGGAGATATTCCTGGGCTGCTCCACAGAGGCACCATTCTCTGACACAGCGTGGGCAAAAAGCTGTGGGTACAGAAGCCCGCGGTCAGCCCGGTGCTTCCCTCCTTCTGGGCTCCTGCTGCAGGGGGGACACTTATGCTGGGTGTTGAAGGCTACTTGCCTCATACTTGGCAATCTTCTCCCGGTCCAATGGCTTATTCAACATCAACCACCCTGTCTCCTTGTCAATGTCAAAGATGCCCTCTGGCGGGCTATCTGCCCCAGGCCCTGTGATGCTGTAGAAAATCTTGGTGCCTTGGTCTTTATCAGATTTGAGCTGAAAGCAAAAGAAAACAGTAGCTGATTGCCACAAAGAAGTGTCTGGAGAGGGTCACAGCCTTAGGAGGATCTGCTCACCCGACGGGGACTTGCTCTGTGGGCCTAACACTCCACAGCAGGAAACCTCTCACTCAAGCCTTTTGTCTTTTTTTTTTTTTTTTTTTTTTTTTTTTTTTTTTGGAGACAGGGTCTCACC